ACTGTGTTTGCTGGTCTGCGTTAGTATTTGTCTTCAAACTGCAAGAGTTGCTTTTGCTGTCATTTATAATTTATACAGCACTTTCCGTCAGCAAAGGCTTACAAGTCATTTAAGTGCTTATTTATTATCTCAATCAACCTATTAATTAGCACTTACAGTATGGAGACGGAGAGCCAAGCCGAAAAGAACGTGCTCCAGATTGGCCACCATACTTCAACTGGGTTTCAGGACATTGTCAAAATGGCAGGCTCCCCCAAAAGGCTTAAGATTTTTTTTACATATATATCCTAAAACAACACAAATATCAATTCATCATTTAAAGCACATCGGATATCAATGTATTCTACTATATGAAGATCTTATATAGCAATATTTCAATAGCAAAACCAAAGTAAGTGCCTTCATCTTTGGAGAATGGGCAGGGGGAAATTTTTTAACTTTGCTGGAAAAAATCACCAGAATCAGAATTTGTTTTCTGCTCATTTATTTCAAACAGGCATGGACTTGGCAATTCATCACTATGCCACTATTTATTTTGCAAATAAAAACGTCAACTTTTCTTAGCATTGTTATATGCAAATAATTCTTATGGATCTTCTCTCTCCCCGCCCCCGTCCCCCTTCCCAGTCTGCATACAGCATTAACTGGTAGGCACCATCGGGTGTTACAGGGCTGCACTACTTCGGGAAGTCTCTAGTTCAGTGTTTCTCAACCTTGGCAACTTTAAGACGTGTGGACTTTGAATGAATTCTGGAAGTTGAACTCCGCACAAGTTGCCAACTTTGAGAAATGCCGCTTTATTAATTTATCATCTATAATGATGCAGCTGTCGACAATTATTTGTCCATAATGGGATCAGATTCCCTATATGTGGCCAATCTAACTAAACAGAAACTGAATTCTAGGCCAGAAAAACTTTAAGTATTCATTTCAAGCCCTTGCAACTTTTGTGTGTGTGAAGGAAATTTTAAGAATCACAGGTAAATTAATTTTTAAAAAGTAGGCTCGACAGAATACAATTTTTCAAGAACACGTACCAGGACTAACAAGGACGTTTCACTTTTAGGGGTAGGGTTTCTTTAAATCAAAAGGAAAACTAGGAGAAATTGAGAAAAATGTTCAATTTCATCAGTTCTACAGGCACCCTTGAATGCTTGCAACCTGAACAACCTTCAAGGGTGTCCACAAATCCTCTTGCTTCATGGGTACAAGTTTGTTTGGGGAATGTCAATGTATCAAGAGGGTGCAAATCCAGATTTTATGAAAAGCTCAGAGTAAACCAGGAATAAAACTAAGTTCTTTTAAGCATGTCTTACTGAAATTTCTCAACTATGTTAAGGACTTGAATGTATCATTTGCTGCTGCAGCTTTATATGTGTGTACCTTTCGTTTGCATGAGCTATTTTTCTATTTGCAACAGTGGTGAATTCTATTTCTCTTTCTCACATTTTGATGATGTTGTTGTTTAATATGCAGGAGCCTCCACTGTTAGGAATTTGTACAAGGGTTTTTCAAAGCAAGAGTTACCTGTGCATGACCAGCCCAACTCGGAGTGGACCTTCATTATATCTCAGGAGAAAAAATGGTTTTTCTTCTAATTAGCCAACTGCTTCCTACTAGAATGGATATTGTCACTTAAAAGCAATCGTTGTGCTAACTCATGTTTAAGATTGATTAGCTCTTCCAACGAAAACACATGAATACTAAGGCAGACACTACAAACACCATGAGAAAGACACCTTATGTAAGCTAATATACATCCTCAGGTACTGAACCCTATTGTTTTCCAACTGGGAATTCCCTTGAAGGCAGCCTATTTAACAAAAAGAGTTCAACAGATGTCAAGAACTGGATATTTGGTTTACATCCGAATTCTACAAAAAGGAACATACAACGAAAATACATAAATGCGAGGTACCATACAATTCACACTAATTTACAAATGGTTATTTACACTATTATATATACACAGTCAGACCCGGTTACCATAAATTGATTAGCTAATCCTTCTACAAAATTCACATTAAGAACCCCAGGCCGAGAGTTCAAAACAATGCCAATTTTCTTTTAAATCCGCCACCATTACACCAAGGAAGCTTCGATGTCTGAATCCATCGGGTAGGTTGATTAACCTGGTCTGATTGCCAGTGTGATGAAAAATTCACGCATTTCTGCTTTACAAAAGCTACTAGGCCACTATGGTCTGTAGGCTTATGTTTACAGTGTTGAGTGCTGTTTCTAGTAACTCCCTATTTTTCACTACATTTTACAACAATGTCACTAGTGATGGCATTAGGATCTTTTAGCTTAAAAGTACAGGCAACAGATTAGTTTGTTACCAAGTCACAGCCAGAATTACCTGAGGTTGTTTTCTAGAGCTCTGGAAAATAAAAGATTCAAGTACTTGAAAAATGAGAGCAAGCTGGAAAGTGTGACAAAGTCACCTCAAAAATCCAAAACAGGAATAAAAAAGTGGAGAGCAGAAAATGGCAGCTTCTGAAATAACAAAATGTAACTACATTAAGCTACATGTACTATTCTTTAAGGTAAATGGACATTTTCTCTTAAGATGACTTAAAACCACTAATTATTTTTATACATCTTTAATGTATTCAGAAACACACTGTGCTGGAAAATGTTCAATCTAACACCATTCTGGCAAAAATGGAAACATGATTGAAATCCAGCCACTTTGGAGACTAAGCCAAAATACATCTCTTCTAAAGAGCTCATTATTTTTTTTACGGAAAAACTTTTAATTGGTTCATATTAAGCTCAGTTGAAATGTAATAAAAGTTTATCAATATTTGCAGATTCATCCAGTGAGGTGCATTCTTCTCTATCCAGCTTAACAGAAGAGCTGAACCATCATACTTTGGATATCATTTTTTATGTAACAAAAATAAGGGAGATGATAATAACCATTATAATGATGAACTAAAATAACCTTTCCAAGTATTACTAAGCCTTAAGCCTTGCCAGGGTAGGAAGAAAAAAAACCTAGCTTGAAAAGTAACTTTTACTTTTTTCCAACAATCTATAAAGGTTTAATTAGAGAGTATTTTGAGCAAAGCAGTTCTAGGCTTTTGAAAATTAAATTAAACTGAATTCTGCCTAATTCCTAAGGGCCTCACCGTAAAATGGCATTAAAGAATATGTAAAATGAATACAGAGACATAAAAAGGAGCTGTTTTCTTATTTTCTAGAGCTCGAGCAACACCCTTTTACCTGATAAATTACAAGTTTTCTTTAATAATTGGCTCAACACTGATCATAAAGAGAAGCTGCCCAATTTATGTACAACTGTGGTAAGAGCTGAAATGTATCTTAAAAGTAAAACTACCCTTCTCCATGTGAAAGTTTTAAGTACGAGTAGAATATAATTCCTGTTACCTTGCTGATAACCTGGAACCTCAGAACCACACAATTATGTTCATCACACCCATTCAGCATCACACTGGGGAAAACTGACCACAGAATACAGATTGTACCCTACTTTTTCTAAACTAATTTCATTGTTGAATAATGGGACGTTTGAGGTTCCACTATTCTAATTTGGGGCATTTAAAGACAATAGTTTTAGAAATATCTCCAAATGTATCTTGTCACGTTTTTATTTCTGTAAACAGATGTTGTCAGATCAAGTCAGGTTTATTTTTTAGCCAATATTTATTTTACAGAGTCCTATAAAATATTTCTGAATAAATATTTTACTGAGTCTGGGCAACAGGTTCCCCACTTCATCCCTGTTTAAGGTATATTTGCCTTTACACATAATGCATATGAACACACAGACTTCGCATATATGGGCACTTAAGAAACCAAAAAAAAAAAAAAAAAAAAAAAAAAAAGACCAACAGAAACTATTATTGAACTTAATGTCGCGACTTTCAAAGTTTAACGCAACTTCCCCATTCTTAAACACACATACTCTCACACATACACTAGCTAAGTAAACATTGTTTCATTTCACATTTTTTGAAATTTCAACCATTCTTGGTAGGATGGCTTTTGAAAAAGAAGATTAAAATGTCTGTGACCAATTCTCATTCTTCAAATGCCACTACCGTTTACTAAAGAAAGGAGGACGAAGGAAGTGGAATCAAGGTAAGGAAGTCAACGAAGAAAATTATGAACACTCACCAAGCCTAAAGAAATAAAAATTTAAGTGGTACACTTTTGCTCCCAATTATTACAGGACTGCTCAACAAAAACCCTCTTGGTTTTTACTACAGTTTCTAGCTAATATCTTTAGTCCTACATTATATAACAAGGTGTTCGAAGGTTTCAAAAAACTTGTTAGGGAGGAAATTACACAACACCTGGATGAGTGGTCATTTAAAGCTTACATTTCAGGATAAGATCCCTCTTCAAATTAAAAGCCGAGAGAGAATGGGTATCATTTCCTTAATGCAGTGAGCAGGCCTCCGCAAAGTTTTTGCTTCCACTATATACAATCCACGCCTCCCCCCTATACAGCAGCTTGCTAGAATTGAGAGAAACAAGAGAATGAAAATTATTTTGTTCCACCCTGATATAATCTCCAGTCAGCACCAGTGGCTTGAGTACAAACTGGGATCTGTTGTTGTGTAGATTCCATGTGGTTCACAGTTAAACAACTGAATGTTGTACCAATCTGAGATGTAAAAAAGTTTACAGGATGATCGCCTGCACCCGCTCCCTTAAGGAGGACCGATAAACAGCAGCAACGGAATGTTAAACTCATAATAAATAATTCATGTCTCACATTAAAAAAAAAAAAAAAAACAAGAAAAAGGATTAAATTTTCTCTCCTTGTGTTTCAGAAATCCATTAGCTTCTAATCCTTCCACAATATCAGAAAAGACCTTCATTTGAAGTTACCATTGAAAGATTGTTATTTAGAGGCAATGAAAAGCAATAAAAAAAGAAGAAGAAGAAGGAATAATACAAATGTAGAGCTTTTCCTATTATGTACTCATGACAAAAACAGTAAGGAATCTTCTCAACAGGCGGGTAACCAAGTTCTCAAATTCTACTCAGGAAGTTTTAATGCCATTACTTCATTCTTCATTTTGAAGTACTGATTGAAGCGAACAACTGCATACCTATGTGAGCAAACAAAAGCATTCGGTGAAATATGATTTTGGGTGCAGTTTTCCATGAATCACAATATTTAACTTTTATACACACTTATTTTTAGTTTTTCCTGCCATCTAGTGGTTATGTAATGTTTTTGTAAAAATTGCCAGAGATATGCACATAGCTTTTCCAACTTTTTAAAATACATGTGGGCCAGATTATATGATATGGTAGCAGATTAAGGTTATTTTTCCAGACATTTCAATCTAGTCCCAGGTCAGCTTGATTAGCAAATCTAACCCATTCAGTATTTATGTTTTGATTTCATGTAGCCAAAAATATTGATATTTATAAGCAGCATGCTTACCAAACCTTAATAAGGTTAGGATCATGGTTCCAGTAATCAAGGCATATATCGGGACTTCAATTCCCATGTCACTTCAGCCAATGTGGCGCATAATCATGCTGGCTGGGGTATTATGGGAATTCAAATAACACATCTAAGGGATACCAAGTTAGGAAAGGTTCATGCACTGAATTTACAGGAAAAAGAAGCATGAAAATTGGACAATTCCTGCATTCTCGCTCTCTTTAATCTATTTAAATTAATTTAATTCAAAATGATTTAAATTAGACTCCTCTTGTTCAGTTATAATGGGTTTTTAAACATTTTAAAAGTTAATTTGGTTGAGCTGCAATTCTCTGAGGGGATAAAAATAGTTTGTATTCATAAATCATTAGCACTTGATCACAAGCAACTATTCATCACACTTTTGAATAAATGAAATTTTAATACTTATAATCAAAGAAGCAGCTCTTTATGTGTTTATGCTTTACTATTTTAGTTTTATGCAACTGACTATCCTGACCAAAAAAACTGTATCAACAAAAATCTATTTCACAGTCAGTTATGGTTATTTCAAATGTAAAGATCTGTACCTTAAACCAAAAATGTTTACAAAAATATTACTTGAAAGATGAAGCCAATTCATTTTAATATAAAATCCTATGAATACAGAATATTTTATATACCTAACATAAGGTGACTCTGTTAATTACTTACCCTAGAAAATCGAAGTCAATAGTGGAGTATTTGGCTTGAATTAGGGCCCACAATCCCCAGAAGAAATGAGAGGCCTGCAGAGGAAGACAAATAAATTAGTCAGAATGGTTTTGTTTTCAGAGACTACTTAGAAAAAGCAATGCAAAATAACGAACGCTCATACTATGATGTTAATATTGCATCCATAGTATTTGAGTTTATGGCGATTTGAGTTTATGGTAATTTTAGCCAACAAACTTCTAAGGCCAAGATTTATAACAGTCTTCCCCAAATTCAATTCGCACAGACAACCTCAAATTCTAAAGGCTCCAATTTTACTATACTTTTGTTTCATTTGAAGAAGGATTTAAGACTTCTACAAAGAAAAAAATACAATTAAACAGAAGACTCAAAAACATTTGTCCATTTCTTTATTGAAGAAAATCATCTAAACTTACATATCTGTGGGGGGCGAACGTATGTGAACCTCTAGGATTATCAGTTTATTTGAACAGGAAATTACAGCCAAGTGTTTCAATCTATGGGAGGATAATCAGGTGCAACTGTAGGAAGTCCTGCCTTACGGGTGGAGTTAGAGGCAGTCCCTTACCTGCTCAGGGCTGGGAAGGACCAGGCCTGGAATGGATTGGTGTGAATATGTGGCTAAAGATCAGTAACATTCGCTTAACAAAACTACAGTTATTGCAATCACTAGGTCATGTCTTTATGTGACATCTTACTTTATGACTGCACTGTTAGTGACCAAAATTCCAGCCCAATTGTGGTTAAGTTGAGGGCTACCTATAAAAATTACGTTAAAGGAAGTTCATGAAAGGAAGTCAAAGCTGCTGTGTAAGGAGGAATGGGCTAAATTCTTCTATGATGTCCAATTTGATTGGAATTGGAATTCTTTATTGGCCAAGTGTGGTTGGATACACAAGGAATTTGTCTTTGGTGCATATGCTCTCAGTGTACATAAGGAGAATAACATACATTCATCAAGAATAAAAAGATACAACACTTAGTGATAGTCAAGGTTACTAATAAGCTATCAAATCTTACTAGGAAACAAGTAAAAACATTATAAATTGAAAGATACAAGCACATGGTTATAGTAATAAGTGGGAAGAGGTAAATACTAGTAAGGAAGAATAACAGTAATACAGTCTTAGTAAATTATTTGACAGTGTTGTGGGAATTAGTTGTTAAGCAGAGTGATGGCATTCGGGAAAAAACTGTTCTTGTGTCTAGTTGTTCTGGTGTGCAGTGCTCTATAGCGTCGTTTTGAGGGTAGAAGTTGAAAGAATTTATGTCCAGGATGTGAGGGGTCTGTAAGATATTTTCACAGCCCTTTTTTTGACTCGTGCAGTATACAGGTCCTCCATGGAAGGCAGGTTGGTAGCCATTGTTTTTTCTGCAGTTCTAATTATCCTCTGAAGTCTGTGTCTGTCTTGTTGGGTTGCAGAGCCAAACCAGACAGTTGTGGATTATTTAATCAACAGACTTTGGAAATGTTTAATTGCAGTTATTGCTACCCAAACTGTTACACCACTTACTGAAAACAAAAGCTTTTGCCCCACACAAACATGTAGCTTTGATCATTTTCAATAAGTAAGTGAATACATTTGATGTTTTTGACCAATTTAACTGGATTCTTTGCCTAGTTTTAAGGCCCGTGTGGAGAAGATATCACGTTTTAGGTCATATTGATGCAGAAATATTGAAAATTCAAATGGGTTCACAAACTCCTAAGCAGCTCTGTATGCTAGCACTGGTAAGTCATCTTCCCTAGGAGTATCTGCATCCTTTGGAAGGCCTACACACTCGTTCTGCTTCCCATTCAGCCACTTTGCTAGTGACCCACTGCTCAGATGGGGCCAGCTTTCAAAGTTGCTCAGTGAGTCGTGAAAAGGATGGATGGATTACCTCTTGAAGAGAGGTAATTTGTTTCTTCTAACACACTACGTAGAGCACCTCTTTAAAACACTTTGTAAAGCCCTCATAAATGTAAGACAAGAATGTATTTGTAACAATAAAACAGCTTTCAAGTAGCAGAAGATATTCAAGCACTTCCCGGTATAGGGAAATGGCCTTATTCCTATAGCCCTTTACTGTACTAGCTATTTTTAAGCGAGTTTGCCATCTTGACTGCTACAGCATTTTGTGGCATATTTTACTTAATGGTATAGTTCAGTATGGAATTGCACGGTAGTCTTTGACTTACAACAGTGGGTCTAGTGACCGTTTGAAGTTATGACAACACTCACAAAAGTGACTGTTTTCCACACTTATAACCATTGCAGCATCCCCATGGTCCCATGATCAAAACTCAGGTGCTTGGCAATTGACATGCATTTATAACGGTTGCCGTGTCCCAAGGTCATGTGATCGCCTTTGTGGTCTTCTGACAAGCAAAGCCAAAGGGGAAGCCAGATTCACTTAACAACTGTTACTAACTCAACAACTTCAGTGATTCATTTAACAACTGTGGCAAGAAAGGTCATAAAATGGGGTACAATTCATTTTAACAAATGCCTCACTTAGCAACAGAAATTTTGGGCTCAATTGTGGTCATAAGTCAAGGACTACCTATAGAGTAGTCATCCTCTAATACCACCTATTTTATGAATAACTAACAACATCTGTCTGAAATGGTATGTATGTATGTATGTATGTATGTATGTATGTATGTATGTATGTATTTATGTATTTATGTATTTATGTATTTATTTATTTTTTAAATTTGTATACCGCCCTTCTCCCGAAGGACTCAGGTGGTATAGGGCAGTGATGGCTACCCTTTTTGCCACCGTGGGCCACAAACGGGGGGGGGGGGGGGGGGGGGGGGTTCGCACATGCACGTACACATACCCATAATTCTATGCCCCCCGCCCCCCACGAGCTACCCCCCCGGCACTCCACCCGCCTTTGGAGCACAATGGCACGGTGGGCCGGTAGGCCCGTTTTTTGCTCTCCCCAGTTGGGAAATGGGCCGTTTCCGGCCTCTGGAGGGCCTCCGGGTGGGAGGCAGTTTTCGCCCTCCCCAGGCTCCTCTAAAGACTCTGGAGCCTGGGGAGAGTGAAAAATGGGCCTCCCCTGTCCCGGCGGCCCTCCGGAGGCCGGAAACAGCGTGTTTCCTGACTTCTGGTGGGCCCAGAAGGCCCAAAAATCAGCTGGCAGAGCTGAGTTCGTGTGCCCACCGATCGCCATCATGGGTATAGGGTTTCCTGCCTGAGCAGGGTGTTGGACTAGAAGACCTCCAAAGTTCCTTCCAACTCATTCTGTTTTTCTGTTATTCCAAAAAATTTGGTTCTGTGGTCTCACAATAATGGCAGAAAATAGAGGCTAGTTAGGAAGGTCCTTAGAAAACAAGCCAACGTGGTTAGCACATGTGCATACTATGACCAGAATGGACAGGGTGGCACCTGATAAAGGCCTAGAAACTATTTTTCCCTCTGCAAATGAACAGTGTACAGATTGTAGTAAACGATTAAAACAGACCGATTCCTATTTTCTAAGGATACTTTGGTTTTGACTGGAAATAGGTGCTTTGGAACATATGGCAGTGTAAACACAATTGTCGGTGACAATCATTAAAGTAGCGGTGTTTGTATCCATACCCTGGAGCCTCACAGCAGCTGCACAGTCCTGGAGTCAGACACAGCTGCTTTAATGATCATGAAACAGATCCTGTGTACTCCTAAATTACTTCTTCCCAAACTGCACAATCCTACTTTATTTTATATATGCATACAATGCTGTAAAATGCTTGTGTGTTCTGTGGTGAAGAAAAGCAAATGAATTACTTTTAACTGCACTTATTTCAAGTCACCTGTGAATTCACACATTATGCCCAGTGGAGGAGTCTGTTTGACATTTTCTAGAATTGTATGGCAGGATCTTGCTGTACCATGTAGCTAAATAGGACTCTTGCCTGAATTCATTATCTAAGAGTCACACAGGAGATCTGAAGGAATAGTGAAACCATCTGAGACAAATGTGGCAGGAAGATGTGCTGTCTTAATCCAAACGTAACGCTTGAGAAAACTGTGGTTATGGGTAATAATAAGTTGTCGTTCCCTGTAGCTTTGGTGCTTGACTAAGATGAGTCAGTAATAAACTATTTGCTTGGAAAAGAATAAGATTGTATAAATCAACCAATGGGAGCGTTGCTCAAAGATTGCATATCTCAGGCAGGAAGGGAAGACTGAGCGTATGTGTCTGCCAACTATAATTCAACTGGGAAAGGAGCTCAAGGTTGCTGATATGACCAATCACACTTGTGGAGCAAACATGCATCCAGAAGGGAGCATTTCTGTTCGGCAAGTTCATAGTAAAGTTTGACTGCTACCTCTAACCCATTTAGCAAGTTGTTTGCAGAAAGATCGCACTCTTTGGACAGACTTTTGAAAAGTCTGAAAAATCAGGATTTAAATGCTGGTACTGGTAAAACAGTATTGTAGGATGATCACGATAAAAACAAAACTAAAACGGGCATGTAAGAAATGAAATGGTGCTTCCAATGTATTACAAGTAGTCCTTGGCTTACAACCACTTGTTTTGCATCTGTTTGAAGCCAAGAAACTGGAAAAAGTGACGTTATGAGCATCTTTTCATAATTACAATCGTTGCAGCATCCCCAGGGATGCTGATCAAAATTCGGACGCTTGGCAACTGACTCCTATTTATGACGGTTGCAATGTCCTGGGGTCATGTGATCATCTTTTCTGGGCTTCTAACAAGCAAAGTCAATGGGGAACCCATATTCACTTAATAACCATGTTACTAACTTAACAACTGCAGTGATCCACTTAATAACTGTGGCAGGAAAAGTTTTAAAATAGGGCAAAATTCACTTAACTAATGTCTCGCTTAGCTACAGAAATGTTGGGCTCAATTGAGGTCGTAAATCAAGGACTACCTGTAGAGGGATCCTAGTGTCACTATCTAACACTACCTATTTTATGAATAACTACATTCCAAATAATTTGGTTCGGGTCTCACGATAATAGCAGAAAATAGAGGCTGGTTAGGAATGTACGTAACAAGCCAACATGGTTAACACTTGTGCATACCATCACCAGAATCGACTTGGTTGTACCTGATAAAGTAGTACACAGAGTAGGAGTGAGAGGAGGAATTATTTTAAGTCGATGCAGGGGAGATGAAACGTATCATCACTGCTGGAGCAGAGCCAGTCACAGTGATGCAGTGTGACAGAAGACACCTACCTTTGACTGCTGAATCAGCAGTCATCTTGAATCATCTTGCTCCTTGGCAAGATGTCCTACTTCCATTAGACAACTTGCCTCTTGATCTCCAGCAAATGATAGAGCAAAGGGGTTTTGTCTCACACAAAAAGTTGATGCAATTTTATTTGATTGAAAATATAGAGGGTGGGAAAAAAACATCTGGTTAAGTGTAACTTGCATCTGAAACTGCAATTTTCAGCCTTCCTTATCCGTGCATGCAAAATATGGTGAGATTATGGTGAGAGCTTGAATAAAACGTATCCAATATAATATCTGAATTTCGTGCTATAAGAAAAAGCACCCCTCTACTTTATTAATCAAAATTTGTACTGCAAAATCAGCAACACAAGAGGTGGTTTCGCCTAGAAGATTTTAGGGTCTAAATCTAAAATCTCTTAGATTAAGGTCAGCAAGACTGAAAGTGCTAGAATCTGGAGAATGGGAACAATATCATCTTAAACTTAGTATTTCATCCTCTGAGAAGACAGCAAGAGAATTTGTTTGATGTAGGAACAGATATTCTAATCATTATAGATCAGGTGATCAGCAAAAGTTCTGCTTAGAGATTAATGGAGCAGATCCGAAGAATTGATGGCAATAGAAAGAATCTGAAGCCTACTTAGTAGATGCAGCTTTCACTAAGGATAAGAGCCAAAAGAAAGTTGGTTGGATCTCAAATACAGGATCTGTCTGAATAAAAATTCCTGTGACCTACAGAGAGATACTTGGAAAAGTTATCAAGTGGTTAGTCAAAGGCATGATTGGGCAGCAGTCATGCCTTTGACCAAGAATATGGAAGGAAATTGGACACACCTGCTTCTTTCTATCTTAGGCTATTTCAAAGAGGTTGAAATTGGGATTGTGAAAGAGAACCTGGTGGGCAGGGAGGCAACTGAACTAAGAGAAACTAACCCTTTAGAAGCTGAATAATCATGATTATTTTATTCTTCTTTATTCTTCTATTATTATTTTATTTTAATATTATTTTATAAATTATTTTATTATTTTATTCTTCTGCCAATCTAGCAGTTCAAAAGCACGTAAAAAATGCAAGTAGAAAAATAGGGACCACCTTTGGTGGGAAGATAACAGCGTTCCGTGCGCCTTCGGTGTTTAGTCATGCCGGCCACATGACCACGGAGACGTCTTCGGACAGCGCTGGCTCTTCGGCTTTGAAACGGAGATAAGCACCGCCCCCTAGAGCTGGAAATGACTAGCACATATGTGCGAGGGGAACCTTTACCTTTATCTAATCATGAAATGGCCAATTACAATCTTGATGATCACATTATAACTTAAGGGAAGAGTCTCAATTCTGACTATCCTGATGAGTAAGAAAGTAGTCCAGAAGAGATCATAGCTGTCTCAGACCTCTTTTCTTAGATCAACTCTTAGTCTACCAAAAAAAAAAGGTAGTGAGGATTGAATAATATAAATTGGACAGTCTTATGGTGGAACTGGTGATAATGGAGTTGGAAGTCACTACGAAGGGGCTACTGGTGACTAGCACTAATGATGTTACCTAGTTTGGGTAATGAAATATCTGCAAGAAAACCACCAAGCTCAGAAAGCACCAAGGATCCAAGATACAGCACAAGGATGATCACCTCAAATATGAATGTCCTGAGAAAGTAGTGGTCGCAAACACACTGAAGTTTGAGTAGGAAGCGTGGAAGGCTCCTACCAAATAATTTCAACAAATCTAGAAGAATCTGAACAGGGCTTGGCATAAATACATAAACAATATGTGCAAATCAAAGAGACCATGCTGAAAAACCTACTTGTTCAGTATTTAAAGAAAATATCTGAAGTGCACTAGGCAAGGTGGACCTCCTACACATACCCCCACAAAAACAAAATCATATAGTTCTTGCCAGGAATGCCATGATTTGAACCATTTCTCTGAGACAAAATCCCCAACTGTAATGTTTATTTTTGCTCCTAGTTAAGGACAAAAAAAGACCAACATTTTCACAGAAGTAGCAAAGATTACAAAACCATAGCACTTGTGAATTTGGTGTGGCCGACATAAGAGAGAAGTCATGAATGTCCTTTTTAGGGGATATGAAAGGTACTGTCCTGGAAAATTTGAGAAAGTTTTATTTTGCTTTTGGACTGTCATTCCAGAAGTAATTGGAAGAGCCAAGGTGGTGCAGTGGTTAGAGTGCTGTACTGCAGCTACTTCAGCTGGCTGCTAGTTCAGCAGATCAAATCTCACCGGCACAAGGTTGACTCCGCCTTCCATCCTTCTGAGATGGGTAAAATGAGGACCCAGATTGTTGGGGGCAATATGCTATTTAGTATACTGTTGATTGTTGTAAGGCGCTCAGAGTCCTCGGAGAGTGGGCGGCATAGAAATATGTTTTAATTAATTAATTAATTAATTAAGCAGTTTTTGAAAATTATTTCCACAAAAACTCCACAAAGCACCCCTTGCACAACAAGTATGGTCTGGAGGAAAAATCAAACATTCCACAATCCTACAGAACATTCTTTTCCTGGTAGGTTTTGCATGTAGCAACTCAAATCTAGGAGCAAAATCATTGAATTTTCACTGCCATGATGAACAAGAAGATGTAAAAACTTGTCAAGTTCACTTGCACCCAGTCCTGGTGTTAGCAAAATAAAATCTAAACTTACCAGAGCAAACTGGTTCACTTGGACGTAAAGCATCTCAACCTCTTTTTCAGTGACATCTGTTCCAAATCCTTTATATTCCTTGTAAGCTTCCAAGTAAGATCTCAACCATTGTTCTTGCAGCTTTCTGCTTGGATAGAGGTTATAATCAACCTCACTCACTCCTACAAAACAGTAACTCGTTAAAAAGAAAAAATGAAATTTCAAAAATAAAATAAAATAACAAATTCTGTATTCCTGTGTTCAGCTTTGTTCTTTTATTTATCTCAGAATCTGAAACAGAAATTATGCACTCATTTGATCCATGTCTTGGCACCTAGCATTCTTTAGTACCCATCAAACTTCCCACTCTATTTTTTTTAAGATTATTTGTATTTAAAAATAGATAGGAAAAAAGCAAAATAGTAGCCTTAAGAGTACTCTTTTTTCCCCTCAATAATTCCTTAGACATCCATGAACATCCAAGAAACATTTGTATAAAATGAAAATGCAAGCTGATTAGCCAAAGCTTTTTTTTTTTTAAAGCCTCTGGTGCATGGGGGATTTCTGACTGGAGAGAAGGGGGGAGGGGGGACAGGGACAGAAGAGCAGTTGGGAGGCAACTGCCACACACAAGAAAGGAATAGAAAGATAAATATATTCACAGCTACTCTTTAAAGATTCCAAGCGTGATCTCATTTCAAGTTTCACTCTGTTTAAATATTAAATTATAATGTCCCACAAAAGAGATTTAAGTCATTTTGGTTTTGCCTTCTCCAATAAACTAGTCTGGAATGAGAGTCTTAACTGAGGAAATTTAGGAACCCGTTTTCTTTTCTTATACAAGAACTGCCCCCTTTATTTCTCATCCAACATTCTTATTTGAAGGCCAGAGGGGAAATAGCAAACTTTTCAGGGCCTTTTTTGAAGGTTTCAGGGGTTCTTACAAGCCTGAATAGAGAGGTCTAGCAGTTTTTTTTTTTTACGTTTCACTTTCTCTCTGCCTTCAGCTTGTGCTCTGCATCCCCGTTCCTAATCCTGAGCCCTCTTTTCAAAGTCTCTATAGACTTCAGGCTCAGAGACTCAAAATATTCACCCCCTAAAGATGAGGTTTCCACAAAAGAAGCTAGTGATTTCTCTTCACCACAGCCGTAATTACCATACCAGCTATTTTGTGAGAGCAATAGTACATAGCATGTTCTTTACATAGTTTTCTTAGTTAGAGATGAAAACTAGGTTAGCAGCCTTAATGTAACCCGCTGTCATATGCAGCATTCCCTACTACACACTACCAAGTTTTGACACAAGTTGGCCAATATAGCACTACCAAAATTAAGTTTTACTCCAGGATTGCTTACATATCCTTTGCGAGCTTGGTATTCTAAGCTAGAGGATATATTAGCAACAAAAAATAAAATAGAACGCTTAAAGCAGCATATGGATTTAAGTTTATTAAATTAATTAAATTTAGTGCAAAGATGGCTCTTAAAAATATAAAGTAGTGAATAGTATGGATATAAACTTGATTTAGGTATTATTTTTTCTCACCTCGTTCATTTATTTTATTAATTTCTTCAATTTGTATAATATTGCACGGCAGGTAAATATACAGTACATTTACTGTCAGAATTTAAAATGTGCCCAACAATACCCCAAACCGACATAGCAAAAGATGCAAGTATTAGCAATTAGTTTTAAAAAGCTGACCAGCAGTCTTTGTACTATTATACTGCAATTCTCATAACAATGTAATCCTTATCGCTCTTTACTTAGCAAAATACTCAGGCAATTCTGATTTATTTAAAAAAAGCTTTTATTAGTATGGTTCAACTTCAATGAGCAAAGCCCAATTTTGCTACACTGTTGGTAAAACCAAACAGACTTTGATTACATCATGATCTAGCTGTAAATTATGATGTTTTATTCTGTTTAATTTGCTGGAAATTATTTGAATTCTGCTCAATGACCATAATAAAGAATTAAAATGTAGTTCTCCCAAAAGATTTTTTCAAAAAGGATTTTTAAGATCAATTCAAGGTGCCAATGCAAAATTATCTAAAAATTCGAACAGCTTCCCCAGATATAGAAAATATTTTTAGGACACATTGTACATTGGCACAAAAGTACCCTAAGATATCCTTGTGATATTTTTAAAGAAAAGACAAAAAGATGCCATTTTACAAATGGAGATTGAGACACCTTTAACTATAGATGGGAACTAAATCCAAATATTTCAAGATGTCTCTCCAGCAATGCTAAGAAAAAGAATTTACATTTGTCCCGGGAATACCAAGAAGTAAGCAAATCAGATATAAATGGAAAATTCCATTTGTTCTGTAAGTCATGTTGGAAATTAAAAAAAAACCCAAGTATTAAAATGAATTTTTAAAAACCATTTTGCAATCCAGGTGTTTCTTTTTCACAGATTATATTCCTTCCTCTAAGTAAATGGAGCACGAAGTGCAGATAACTATAGCTTCCAATTTTACATAATTTCACATGCATTATGGCACAATTTTCATAGCTGAAATTGGTGTATTAAACCCTAAAGAATGCCTTGTTAGAGCATATTCATACAGACTTTCATATAACCTTAATTAAGAGTTTTAATGCTTTAGCAGGAATACCTATTAGATTATCTCCTTGTGGAGCAAAAAGGGAACATGTATTCCTTCTTCCTCTCATTTCCCCCCACCATTCTATGGGGGAGGGCTGTCCCCGTGAGCTTCTGCAACCAAGGATAGCCCACATCAGTGATGGGTTCCTCCCGGTTCAGCCCGGTTCCGCAAAGCCAGTAGCGGTGATGATATGACATCACCGAACCGGTTCTCCCCCCCGCCCCCCCCCCGTGTGTTATTCTTACCTTTTATTTGGCCCCACCCCCAATCTATTGCTGCCTCCTGAGTCCCAGCTGATCGGCTAGAAGGAAAAAAACTGTTTAAACTCTTGCCGCGGGGCTTCAAAGGGCTGCCCTACAGCTGATCAGTGTTAAAAGGCAGTGTGGTGGTAGACCGGTGCCTCCAAAAACAAATGAGTAGACTTGTACAGCTCTGCAAGCAGTTAAAAGCCTGGTAGACCAGTACCTCTGCTAAATCCTGAAGAATTGTCACATGACCACCAAGCCATGCCCACAAAATAAGCCACGCCCACAGAACTGGTAGTATAAAAATTTAGAACCCACCCCTGGCCCACAACCTTTCTTCCCATGAATTCAAAATCTATATTAAATCTTAAATGGAAGACTCCCCGCTGCCACTATAGGCACAATGAAGAAAGGGAAATAAGGAAGTCCAGGGACATTTCGGGCTGACAAGAGAGAGGATTTATTTTAGGTCCTTGAGTCTTCTTTCCAGGAAAGCAGTTATACGTGCGAACACACGGAAGCCGTCGGAACAAGTCTCAAAGCACTTGCACACGCCTTGCAAAAGATGCTTTAAGAAATCTGAGAAGAGGTTCTATTTGTACAGCTGCACATTGTGAGGCACTCATCATCCAATCCTGATGCAGTGCTAATGTCCAAGCCATTAGCAGCCAGGTTACTACCATACCTGCAAACTCATTGAAGTGGTTCCCAATATCATAAGCCAGGTAATTATATCCAGAGTACTCGTAGTCAATGAACTGAACATCACCTACACGAGACACAAAAATAAAATTGGTAAGAGTAAGAGCTGAGCGCTGTGAATCTGCACTGTGCCCCTTAATGCCTGCCAGTGTGTTCCACTCTGCTGTGCTCTGTATAGCATGCATTTTAGAAAATTCCAAGATTGCATTTATTTTGTTTGTTTTAACGAACAGAATAAACTTCTTTTATCAAAGATACCTGTTCTTAATTTCTTAGGGATAGAACCTCTGCTTTTGTACCACAGGGGGGCATCAGTTATCTTAAGTTCCATTAGTTAGAAGGCCTTGGTCTCTGAATATAATATTCAAACCATTTTTAAACTATTCCTCATCCAAGGTTAGCAGGGCTGAACACAAAATAAGTTAGTACAGTTACAGGCAAGGGGTTCTTTAATTTGCAAAAGGGGGTACTGTATATGTGCTGTTACTTTTGCTTCCTTTATACAAAACGTGGTTCATTTTGCTTACATTACAGCACATCTTCCACAAGTGTTTACCTACTATCAGAACAACATCTGCATGAAGCCATATGGGTTGTATTCAAATATGAATTCATATTGTCATTAAGTCTCTCCTGACATATATCTCAGATTAAAATATGAAAAAAGGAAGCAGCACTATATATTTCCAAGCAATAGAGAATGAACTTTGAACCCCTGAACAATTAAACTGCTTTTCTTTACCTCAAGTGTGTTTAATATATCACATATGTGGCGATACAATCATAAAAAGTAGTTTACATTATGCAGTGCAAGGAGAGGCATTAAATGTTCTCACTGCTAGAATATATTGCCAGCAATCCTCATCAGTCATTCCAAAAAAGCTCTGGGAAATATAGTTCCATAAGAGGGCTGAGGATATGTCGGTCTATATTCCAAATATTCTACCTACCATTACATATTTCAGGACTCTTTGCAATTATAGTTAATTGAGAAAAATTCACATCAGATACATAATAAATGTGGTCAACTTTAAGATGCCACAAAACCTAGGATATTTTTTAGTTGGGGTGGGTGGTGGTGGAACAAACTAATATAGTTAAAACATATACAGAGGCTTCTCACAATAGTATCTTACAAGCCAGGGAGTAACTTTATACCCTAATCAGAAAATATTTTAGATGGCCCCTAAACAAATCCTGTTTCCCAAATCACTCATCTTATAAAGATGATTCAGTAAAAACAAATGCACCCTCAGTTTAACTCTTCTTTTGTCATCCAATACAGCTAACCTTTAACAGAATTATACTTTATCCAAATGTTTGCAGTTAAAAAAAATAAAACCAATAGATAGCAGGTGAAAGACCTGCATGCACAATACTAAGTAAATCAAACATGATTTGTATTCAAGATATACTACGTTAATTATGTCTGCAATGCTGTTATCACCATACGTTAAACCCCTTGCTAACTTCCAGTTATAATTAACAATATTACAAAACAAAAACAAAAAGACAGAAAGAAAGAAAATGAAGCTAAGATACAGATGAGGCTGTTACCAGGCTCCGTGCTCTCCTAGGGGGAGGTGCATGCGAACAAGTGATGCGATAATACCTCCAGTCAGTGCCTGTAAGTAGCACGGTGCACGCCGCCACTTGGCAGCAACAATGGCATACCTAATCTGTAGCAGATGAAGAAAATTTGGCAAACTCATATTTGACAAGACACAAAACTTTAGAGAGAAAAGTTCTGCATTTCACCGGTCTTTCTTTTGACAGACTGACATTACAGTGGAACTCAGCCTTAAATTTAAGTTTTGCAAGAAATTCAATCACTGCCGTCAAGATGCACGGCTCCGTTTCATTTTGGAGTTTAAGGAAATAGGGGCTTCTGCCAGACGTAATGTTATCATTTGGATGCAATATTCTTCGTTTGTTTTTTAAAATTCATATAATGAATCATAATTACAGGCAAAGTTGTTTCCCAAATATTCATGGGAATGGCGCGTAGCATGGTCCCCAAAAATCCTCAGAGTAATTAGAGCCCCTTTAAAAATCCTGATTAAAATTCTGTTTATGGTGTCTGACACATTCAATGCAAATGTGAACATTCAGCAAGTAGTGAAAGAAAAGGTTTATGCAAAAACAGTTTGGGCTAATTGCCTTTGTCAATTACTTCTTACAGAGCAGGGATGCAAACAACTATACAAATAACATGCATCTGTAGTCAATATATATAAAACTATGACAGTATTTCTTCAGGAAAATTAAAAACTGAATGTCAAAATTAGTCTTCTACGCCCACTTCTTCAAAGTTTTGAGTACTTGCTACTAATTGTGAAGCTCTAATGCAGTTTTGCCTGTTATTTTTTCAGAAATAATTATAGATGTATTATGTAAGCCAAGGTAAAACTATTTAAAAAGTGTTAATGCTAGCTTGAATTCATAAAGTACCAAAGACCAGATTTAAAAGGCACATTAAGAATATATTTGGTTTATTATATCTTTAGAGTTCATTAAAAAGTATTAATTTTCAACTGGGTAAGCTACAATGACTAAATTTAAGAGCTTAATGCACTGATAAGCTTTTATATACAAATGTAATCAGAAAGGATAAATTTAGACTGTTAACATCAGATGTATTGGAACTGGAATTGTATTTGAACACTTCGTTATTATTAAGAAGAATGCAATATCATTACGAATAGCTTTTTCTGTTTTATATAATTAAAACTATAAGAGAATATTTTAACATTAAAATAAAATAATCTTCCAGTAGGAAGCTTCAGAAAAGTTATACTACAACTCAAAATTAAGACATCAAATGCTCTTGAAAAATGATTGCACATTCCTCTTTAATACTAGTTAAATTTCTCTTCAAATCTGCCACCTAAACCTTATTTAACAGCCTATTAACTGGATTCAATTATAACATTTGCAGGAATTATTTACTTATTTATTCTTAAGGAAGACTTACTTCCCCCCCTCCCATATCCCCCCCCCAAAAATTAAATTTCCAAAAGGAAAAGTCATTTTCTAATTTGCTGAGATTATAACTTCAGGCAATTAATTTTTTCTTAATAATTGGGGCAGTGGTTACACATGCTTATAATCACTTCAGGTAACTACTGTAATTGTAGTTGTGCTATACTTTTAAAAGGTGTTTATAAGTTTTTATGGACAATCACATTTTGAAATGATCTAGTAACATTTTAAGTTCAAGTCCTTTGAGTACAAAAAGTGCATAACAAGACTAAATTAGAAATTAAATGTTTCCTGCAGTTGCTTTAATAAATGAGTCACAACAAATGTGCTTTGATTCTTTTTTCCTTGTTGCTGCACTACAGGAGGAAGAGGAAGTAATCAAATTAAGGTTTGTTTAGCATTATATCTGAACTCTTTGCTTCTGTCTCAATATGAGTTGGGACAATTTGTAATTAATTTAAAAAACATGACTCTAGATCCAGATCTATTTGTACAAAACCATAGATTAAACAAATCAGTTTGTTCAGATTCATACTCCTCTGCAAGACATTCTTACATTTCTTTAAAAAATATCTAAACAATTTTCTCTGGAAAAGATTTGTAATGACACAAATTAAGTCAATAATAGAAATAAAGAGAGCACCGTGCATCTTAAAATATTTTTTTTCAAGTAGCCTGTAAAACATTTCAGCAAGAGTGACATATTAACAGCACTGTGTAAAAATTTACTTTCTACTGCACAAAAGTTAAAGTTAAAGCTGAGTTTCCACTGCAAAAATAAATGGTTCCTCTATAATACTGTTATGTACCAGTTTCATAAACACTGTTGCCAAGTACAAGACAATACACAGTTTTTTTTCCAGTTTACTTATTCCAAGGTTAAAGCAATACTCCATACTTCAGCAATGCAGAAGTCATAAGCACCATTAGGGGTTGCTCACAGAATCAGAACTAACAAATAATAGTTATGCCTATTATTTGTTAACTTCGACTACCATAACATAATCAACTTGTACTCTTGCCCTAACTGTGTATGTGTTGTGCTGCAACATTTAAACACGTCAGCTTTAATGGTACACTCTAGCTACTATATGCGCTTAGTACTTTCCCCCCCTTTAAAAAGTTGCAAGCAATTTTACATATTGAGAATTCTCCCTCTCCCCCTCCCTGTTCCCAAATACTAAACACTCACACACTGGTTTTTGTAGAAATGCTCTTAAATGATGTACTGCTCTCACTGATTTATTCTCCATTCTGTTCACAAAAGAAAATGACAGCAGATTTGTTTCAAAAGTAGGCATGTGACGCCTAGAAACTTCGATAGTGTTCTGTTTGTCAAGATACTTGTTTGAAAAGAGTTCCATCAGCTCTACAGAAGAGACACTTTCTTCAGATTTGATGAAATAACTCTCAATAATATGAATTAAGTTCACATCTCTTATTTATGCAAGCATACATTAGGACTCAAAGTCAAATCTAAGGAGAGTAATCTGGACAGATGGCCAATAAGTCACATCAGTGTATCAACGGGTAAGGGTCTTGGCTGCAAGAGAAGAACTATCAGGTATTTAATTTCTGGCTGTGATTAAAATCTCACAGATGAGTCAAAAGAAAAAGCAATAATTTCACTGGTGTCTCTTTAATGTAGAGTTTGGATTCAATTGGGAAAAAAAACTAAAGTAACTGTCATTGTATGGCTTGCTTAGAAGTATAATTTCCACACAGGAGAAAGTTATCAATACTTGAAGTATTTATAATTACTTGAGAAAACTGAAGTCATATGTTCAACTAGGAATTTCATATACTACTTCAAGTTTTTAAGGAGCTGCTTGTTTCAATACCAGTAAAGAAAGAGAAAATATTAATAAGTTCCATGCACTTTACTTAAAACAATTTACGGGGGACATTCTATTTATTTTTATCCCCTGATAAAGCAAGCATCAGCTTCAAGGCAGAATGTTCTATGATTTATGTCATCCCGTCCAATTCCTACTTTTTTGAATTTTGTTGATTTATTTAATTCAGACAAAGGTCTTAGTCCAAGTTAATGCTGGTTAAACAGAAGTTGTATTTTGAACTTGGAATGGGAAATCAAATTTCCTCCAAAGTAATTTCCTTCTCTATTCCAGTATGAACTGCATTTGTATTGATTTTAATGCAAATAAAGATAGCTCAAATAGTCTTAAGAACTCCAAGCCATGCTTTCGGTCTTCGGTTTATATTAAGACCATAATCTGAATTGGGATATATGCAATTCAAAAATATAATGAATATGAAAGGAGGGAGGGAAACAGGCATGCATTGCTAGCTTGTCCACATTATTATCAAATAATCAAGTTATGTCACTGAAAACAGTAAATGTTGAAATATTTTAATACCATTGGACCATGTTATAAATTATAGGCAATTCTGACAACATAATTATTTTCAGGTTGAATGCCTCTGAAACTGATGGCAAATTAAATCAAAAAGCCAATTTTCAAAATACTTCCAACAGAAAATATATTTACAAACAGATGCTCAACTTTAAGGATACCTATGTACCTCATCAGCAGGTATAAACAGAGACTTGGAAAGTATCTTTTCAGATACTTCACCATGCAGAATTCCTCCAGGGCATCAATATATCTGATAATTCAGAATACAGAGATAATACACAATAACCTAGAGACATTTGCTCTCAAAGCTATCAGAAATAACAGGTCTCATCAAAGATATAGTTAAACAACAATTTATGCTTAAATTGCTGCTGTCTACACAGTACTTAGAAAATAATATTCTTTACTATAGAATATGGAAAATAATATTCTTTACTATAAATATTATAAATCTTCATATATTAAAATACCAGTTTTGGCTACTAAAGCAATTTATAAGCAACATTTAGAAATACTCTAAAATAGATTTGAAATTGTCCACCCTCCACAAGCTGTTGTTCTATATCAGGCAATATAAAACAATTTTTAAAAGTTACTTACAGCTGTGTTCCATACCTACCTTGTTTTCCGTTGTAGATGATATTTTTACACAAAAGATCATTATGACAAAGTACCACTGGTGAACCTATGTTAGAGAGTCTCTCCTTCATCCATGCCATTTCATCCTGTAGAATTTGACGACTTGGCACATCTTGTAGAAACCTTTTAGAATTTGAGAACGGTTAAAAAAAGTTTCAAGGATACTTCTCAGAACTTTATGAAGATTCTCTTATTTCGGTGGTGCAAGTTAAAACTTTCTGAGCTCCACATATTCTAAAATTATACTTTCACTTTACATTTTTAAACTAGAGAGGGATACCGAAATATATTCATGTATGAGCTCAGAAATAATTGTCATAGTTGAAAGTACCTACCTCTTATGCAACTCCTCATCTACAAATTCTGTCGGTGTAAGAGAGAAGTACTTTCCCATCTTTATCCATAAATTCGACTTGGGTATCCATCCATTGTGAGCATGAATAGCATGTATTTTAGCAAGTTGTCTTGCTATCAGTCTGAAATACAGGTAATCCTCGAGTTACAACAGTTCACTTAGTGACCTTTCGAAGTTATGCAATAACCCTAAGTGTTTATGTCGAAGTCCCAAAATTATGAATGTTGCAGCATCCATTCTCTGCAAAACTGGATGGGTGCCTGAAGTCACATGAGATCACGGCCCCAGAACATTTCACTCTTGGCCCAAAAAGCATCTGTAAGCTGATTGGACGCTGGAAGGGAAATCGTCCTGCTCTCCTCTCCCTCAAAGGCAAAGAAGCTGTGGCAGAGAGGAGACATATCTTTGCAGAATAAAATGAGTCCGGCACAGCAGGATGGGAGAGGGGAAGCATGAGGTATCTCAGTGGGTCGGGGAGGCTTGGGTGGCCTGTTCCATCACTAGCTCCCCCCATGGCCTTCCCACCCCGAGATACCTTGTGCACTTAACGACCCACGCATTTGATTAGCAAATGCATGGCTGAAAGCAGGGAATGATCACTTTCAAGTTACATTATTCATTCCTACGAATCCTCGAATTACAAATGTAATTAATAGGCAGGCTCCGTTACATTCATAACTAGAGAATTACCTGTAAAATGAAAATTACACAAAAAAAATCATTGTACTTACAAACACATTGTCTTTTACCAATTTCAGCTCAGAACAATGAGAAATCAGTTAGCTGTATATTATTAGGACAGCAATGGCACAGAAGACGGAAAATAGCAAATTATTTTATTTTAAATGAGAAACTTCACAGTACAAAGTTTTTTTTTAAAATCTTGTATGCTTGATAGATAGCTGCATGAAAGAGGATGTTGAACCAGAAAGGACTTTAATTCAACAAGATTAACTTCATGGGTGTGTATCTTGATGGCTGGAACATCACCTGTTCCATTGTGAGAACTTCCACAGTGTTCAGAAGAGTTAGGTTAAGATGAATCTGTATTCTCATCACCTGGCAGCCACCTAATAAAAACCTGAACTATAGGCATGTAAGTTTTTGGCAGAATGCAGCTACAAAGGGGGACAGGAATACCATTTTTCTTCTTGAAAAGGCAGGGGTATCAACAAAAGAGCAAGGCAGTATTACATCCCAATAGTTCTACAAACCACAAAAACCAAACTGATTCTCTGCAGTAAAGCCCATAAGAAATTTATTTTTCTAAAGTCAGCTGATTCAATCACCTTGGAAGAAATTGTATATAGTATACATAATGTCAACTATGTATATTTGAAGAGAAGTATCCCTACTTATGTTCTGGGATAATTTAAAGCTGGGGCAAATGACTAAGAAAAAATATACTAAGAAGCTTTGAGTATTATAAAGTACCAATAAAATTCAAAAAAAATATGTTAGAAGATAAATAAAGCTAAATGAGGAAAGTCCCTGGCAGATTTGCTAAATCAAATTAAACCTTTATTACAGCCTTTGGATCAGAAAGCACAACAATAAAATCTATAGATTCATAATTACTAATAAAAATTTCAAAATGCAATAAAATTATGTAAAATACGAAGTTATTTCAAGACATGGTCTGAATAAAAAAAGCAAAAATATTTGACAACAAAATTACATAAAAGCTACACTATCACTCAATCACAAAACAGTACTGCAGAACAAAGGTGATACGAATAATTGTGTAAGATGTTTTATCAATTAATGTCTACACCATTAATTACCTAAGATTTTAAGCTATTAACGAACTGGATTTTAGAATAATAATTCACTTGTAGGAATCAAATTGATTTCTCTGGAAATTGAGAAAAAAATATTTTATCAAAAAACACTACAAGCACGGTATTGCTGCTAGCAACCTCTTTGAATAAATTGTGTGTAAAAGAAGAATTCCAAAATGCTTACCGAAATATCTCTGGGTTGCAAACATGTTCTGGATCCAGAGCTTCTCCTGGCATGAACTCATAGCACAGACCATTGCTGAAGGTGCAATAAAGTTGGGGTGCACAACCATGGGCCTGCAGCACACGGAAACTCTTCACCTCCTCTTCTCGATCAACTAGGAGTTCTGTCTTATTCCCGTAAATTCTAACAAGGACAACATCATCCATTTTTTCATCCACGTAACAGCCAATGAGTTTATTTGTGATTCCATCTGTAAATATCTGAAAAGAAAAAGCAATGATTTTTAGTTTAGTGACATAGCTGTATATCTTAAGTACTGTTATGCTATGTTTTGGTTACGGCCTTGAAAGAAGTTTGTGTGGCAGAATTTGGTTGACCTTTCCCAAGTTCAGAAGGTAAACTGGATTGGGCCTGGCTAATACAAGTAATTCTCGATTTACACCTATTCATTTAGTGACCATTCAGAGTTACACCACCACTGAAAAAAGCGATTTATGACTGGTTTTCACATTCATGAATGTTGCAGCATCCCTTTAGTCATGTGATCAAAACTTGGTTGCTTGGTAACTGGCATTTATTTATGACAGCTGAACTGTCCCAGAGTCATGTGATTGCCATTTGTAACCTTCCCAGCTGGCTTCCAACAAGCAAAGTCAATAGGGGAAGCCAGAGTCGCTTAACTGCCATGATTCACTTAACTGTGGCAAAGGTTGTAAAATGGGGTGCAACTCACTTAACGGTCTTGCTTGGCAGCAGAAATTTTGGACTCTCTTGTGGTCATAAGGCAAGGATTAAGAGGGAGACTTTAGGTCATTTGTTAACCAAGGTTGTATGCTAATCAGGAAAGTAAAAACAAAACAAATCATTTCCATGCTCTTCCCAAGATGGATATGGATATGTCTGCATAATCACTAGTATGCTTAACTTGTCTAAGATTTAACTTTTCTCAACCAATAACACAACCCACTTTGAGGGATACAGAACAGCTGAATAAAATTACTTCCTAATTTAAAGATGTCTCAGCTAAATTTAAACATCTTTGTAAATGATGGCACTTTAGAGTCCAGTTTATCATAAAATTTATTACTCTAATAGAATAACCATAACTCAATAGCAATAAATGTAATTAAAGAAAGATTCACTAAGTGTGAAAGTATGCTGTCAAATAAAGAGAATTATTTTATTAAGAGCAAAAACAAGTACCAGTAAATAGAAAGAACAAAAGAAAAAAGAAAAGAATGCTAACAACCAAGTCATTAGGCAAGGAAGATAATGTAGTGAAATTCAATACTTGAATCAAACATAAATCCAATATCAGTATAAGTTTTAATGTATTGGCTTTCAGTCAGCCCATTAACAAATTTAGATATCTATTCAAGAGAGCCTTAGTTTAGATCAGCGGTTCTCAACCTGGGGATCGCGACCCCTTTGGGGATCGAACGGCCATTTCACAGGGGTCACCAAAGCCCTCTCACCCCCCCCCACCTTCACTCACCCTCACCCTCTGCCTCTGTTGGATCGCCGGTCGCCGACTGTCCTCACATTTTACAACTGTCCTCACATTTTACGTTTTTTGCCCTATCTTATCACCATGGTGAAGAGAAGCAGTTGTGAAATGAGTGACATGGTTGTTAAGAATGCTGCACGGGCATAAATGTGAGGATGGCCATAAGTGTGAGGACCAGTCAAAAGTGCGAGGACCTGTCAGAAATGACTTTTTTCAGCCCTCTGAGTAGTCCCTATACACATAGCCATGGCCACCAGGTCACATGACCAGCTAGCCACGCCTACCCAGTCACATGACCTCCAAGCCACACCCACAAAATAAGACACACCCACAGAATCGGTAGTAAAAAAATTTAGAACCCACCCCTGGTTGGGGGTCACCACAACATGAGGAACTGTATTAAAGGCTCGTGGCATTAGGAAGGTTGAGAACCACTGGTTTAGATAAAAAGTAATAACAGCAGGAACCATCAGGAAGCTGATGATGCCACATCCCAAAACTAGATCTCTTCTCCAGTGGTTTCACTTAACACAACCATGTTGCTAACTTAATTGTAGCGATTCACTTAACAACTGTGGCAAGAAAGGTCATAAAGGGGGTAGGACACACTTAACTGTCTTGCTTAGCAATTGTGGTTGTAAGTGAAAGACTACCTGTACTCTATCTACTTAATACAGAACATGTTTGTAACACTTTTGCAGAATGTATTTCAGTATCTCCCCCCCCCCCCCATGGCAGTTAGATATTTTAGACAGCAGAGGCTGCTGTGGTACTTTTCTGACTATCCCAGTACTATGATGTCAGCAAATCCAAGTGCAAGAACTTCAAAAAATGGTTGCCAGGAGAGAATATTAATAGAAGAGGAAATAATGGGTTGCTGGTATAACCTGCCTTGTGAAACATCAATCTTGACATACCCATATCTTTATATTACAGATAGCAAGCATTTCCATAGGAACCTAACTATTTCTCTTTCATACACATACAGAAAATATAATTTGTTTTCTCCCTTATTTAAGATAATAGAATCCCAGGCTTTATCATAGTTATTCTTTTACAGTAATGTCCTAGGTATGAATGAGCTACTCAGAACTACTGTAATAACCATATTTAGTAATTATTAGTGCATCCCCGTAAGCTATGCAAGAAAACTTAATTCTCTCCTGCCTCCAATAAGTTCAAATTCTTCATTAAATTTCTATACAACAGTTTGGCATTAGCCAAAGTCAATCAAGTAACACTATCTTTCTTTGTGGTTCTAGTATATTGAATTCTAACTGCATTTTAATTTTACTACTGCACTGCCAGGGCAGCAATGATGTTGGGAACTGCACATGCAGAAATTATATGTAGAAATGATTTCCGCCTATCAGAAAGAAAACCTATCCCCTCCTAATACAATTGTGACGCCTATCTATCAAATTATAAATATCGGTTTAAGAAATTAAATGTGCAATTATGTTTCACTTGGATGCTTATGTTCCACATTTCGTATAGCATACCATAGATTTATGTCAATTAACAGAGTACACAAAGCTTACAAATGAATTATAAAGTCTGTCTGCAAAAATAATTTTACCCAAGAATGCAAAATTACAGCTAAAGATGCTTGCATCAAATGAACTAGAAACTACTAAAACTAACTCATTATATTTAATATATATAGATGCATTTAAATTATTAATATTTCTAGCATTTGCTGCCTATCCAATAAAAATAGGACGGTCATTTTTAAGCATCTTCTGCTATAGAGCTCCTTTTCTGGATTAGTTTAACTCTGAAACAAAGATTTCCTACCTCTCTCGACATACTAGAACACAGTCCAGATCTGAAGCTCTTCTTCAGGGCTTATGCAAGCTGTTCCTCAGGCTGGAGAGAGGGCGCTTAGTGAACCAGTGTTACCCACCGAGTTGTTTTAAGTCTAATTATTATAACTGGAAAATTACAGTATTAGCTGCTCAGCAACCTTTGGGCTGAAAAAAATTATCCAATTTCTATACAGATAGTCCTCAACTTACAATCGCAACTGAGGCCAAAATTTCTGTTGCTAAGCAAGACAGTTAAGTGAATTTTGCCCCATTTTACAACCTTTCTTGCCACAGTTAAGTGAATCACTGCAGTTACTCCGGCAGTAACGTGGTTGTTATGTGAACCTGGCTTCCTCACAGACTTTGCTTATTAGAGGGTCACAAAAAGTGATCATATGACCCTGGGACACTGCAACTGTCATAAATATGAGTTATTTTTGAAGTGTCTGAATTTTGATCATATGACCATAGGGATGCCACAATAGTTGTAAATGTTAAAAATGGTCATGTCACTTTTTTTAGCACTGCTTTAACTTCGAACAGCCACTAAATGAACTGTTGTAAATCGAGGACTACCTGTATTGCCCATCTCACCTGTGTGACTCCAAGCACAAATCTTTACAAATAAAACATATAATTCATTTTTAAACTATGTTCTCAATTTGTGTATATGCATATGGATAAACTCCCTACGCATCAGGACCAAAAATTGCAGTGATATCATAAGAAGATCAGGGCCAACTCTGTGGAATGCAAGTTTACAAGTAAAATTGGTAGTTTCTCAAGGTTCTTATGCTCCCATTCCCACCTTTACATTGCAGTTTCTGACCTAACATCTGCCTGCTGAGATTTAGCTATAATGATGGTGTGATTTAGGATTGATGAGATTCTTAAAGCCTGCTTTTTGGGGGAGAGTTTTTTTAAAAAATAAATAAAACTAGCTTATCATCTTATATTAATTCATCCTTAACCGAAGAGTTTACTATAGCATTGAAAATGAAAGGTCATTTGCTCAAGCCATTCTCTTTCCCTTAAGGCTCCTTAATAACATCTCTTTCATGCCATCAAGAATCTTAACAGCTCTTATGATCCTTGCAAGCCAATTTTTTTTCTATGTGTACATTCATTGAAACAATGAGCTCCTGTCCTCGCCCCAGCTCCTGCCAACCTAGCAGTTCAAAAGCATGCAAAAGCAAGTAGATAAATAGGACCACTTCGATGGGAGGGTAACAGCACTTCATGAGGTCATGCTGGCCACGTGAAATGTTTTCAGACAGCGCTGGCTCAATGGCCTTGAAACAGAGAGGAGCACTGTAGTCAGCAACTAGTGAAGTATCATTCACCTTTTTTATTTTATCATTAGTCCTCAATACAAAGCCACATTCATTGATGGATCACCTTTGTGCATCAAATCTAAGAGCATGAAAGCCAGCTGGGTGACCTTAGACCAGTCACCTTCAATCCAACACACCTCATAGGATTATTGTTGTTGTTGTTGTGAAGAAAATAGGAGGAAGAAGGAATATTATTTGCTTGTTTATTGTGAACCTCAACTTTGTGATGACTTTCAGTTCCTTTTGGCAGAACACAGCTACAATTACAATATGCAACCTATTTTTCTATCGTTATATTATTTGTTTCTGCTGCCTCTCAGCAAGTGTGGCCTAAAATCTAGCTGAAACCAGTAAAAGAATAGATAGTGCCCATGCTCATAGTAACACTCAGTTTCCTAAACTGATATAATTTAGCAGAGTATCCTTTTCCAAAGTAACCATGTTCATTATCACCTATCTAACATAAAAAAATATCATTTCTACTTGGTATCTTTTTCTAAATATGGTCATTGAAGCATAGAAGCAATTACCACTGAAACAGCAATATGAATGAACAAATGCAATTAATTAGTGTTGGAACAGATAATGTCTGCTTGTAAAAGGAAGTGCAAATGTATCTATTTCAAACATACCCAAACTTATACATGTTCAATTTTTAGATGTAAGTGAAAGCCATTGTTTGAGATTATAATGTTTTGGGGCTTAAAACCAACAGGAAAAATGTTTGGACTATATGCTTTACAAAGTTTTACTTTCCTTCAGAGCACCCTAATTAAAATGTTTTTAGCACTTAAGTGTATGAAATCAGTGCTCCCTATATTATGCAACATGGGTAAATTCTTCAGTATATTTGATGGTTAATTGGCTCACTTAAAGTCTACTATTACATTAAAAATATTTTGTATTCTCAAAAAGGTTCTACAAATATTGATATCAAAAAGTTCATAAGTATTTTGAAACAATGTGGTTAAAAAACAAATCATTAAAAAGTTACCACAAAGCTCATCATAGTACTTTTTAAAAAATACATCTTGCTGCATAATTTTTGTTGCCTATGAACTACATTTATAAACCTTTTTCCCAAATCCTGAAAACATTTTACTGCAAACTCTAATTGTAGTTTCAGAGTTTTATTATGCACTATCTTTAACTTTCAAAATATAATTGCTATATAAAATAATTATATACCATTTAAAGTTTCATTATTACTTTACCGCCAATATGAATTTTTACTGACAACAAGCCACATTTTAAGAAACATTTTTTACATGTAGAACAAAAGAAATTAGATAAGTGAGGTTCCTTGAAAAGAAACTGAAGGAGGGAATATAAGGCTACATTTACAGTCAGTCATTTTCAGGCTATGAGAGGCTAGGAATGCAGCTTTCGTCCATACAAGGCACATCTGCAAGAAATGAAATTTTATTGGAACAAAGGTGATGGCCTAAGCTTACCCAGGTGCTTAGCTCCTGGATGGATACAGCTATCTCTGGAAAGGCCAACATTTTATCTTGAGAAAATAATTCTCGCAGTAAGCATTCTAATATACATTCAATATCTATACCATTATAACTTTAATATATAGAAGGATTCATTTTGTTGAGACATTGGTGCTCTTTGAGCTTGTCTGTCTGCAAATGTTTCATTACCCAACTATGTAATATCAAATCACCAAGCCCAGAGAGCACCAAGGACTCCATAGTTCAATCCTAAACTACACATATTCTCTCTTATGGGAGAGACTCATTTGCATCAAAGACCTATTTAAAGAATCAGGAAACCCTGCATTCATCATCATTCACACTGAGTTACGCCAAGATGTGCACGTGTATGACAATGGCAGAACAATAGCTTTAACGCTTAAAGATTAACAGCACCAGCACAAATCTAGAAGCATCTTAAAGATTAACAGAGCTGTGATACAAAAGCTGAGGCATACTCAGGCTTGGTCAACTGCAGAAAACGGTTCAAACTCCATCAGAACCAAATACTTAATGAAAGAGAGGTGGCTAATCAGGACAATAAATAAATAAAAGAGAATTGTGCATTTACACCATACTCTCACTTTCGGTCACTTTCCCTAGAAACATGATAATAAAGCTGCTGGGATGACACTCCCAGAAGCCAGCATATTGCTAAGCTTGTCTTCTCACCACTAACAGAACTGGGATGCTTGGGGGGGGGGGGGGAAGCAAAGACCCCACATTCATTCCTCCCAAAATGTGTGTGTGTGTGTCTTTTCTCACACTAACAGAACTGGGATGGCTTGGGGAAGGGGGGAAGCAAAGACCCTATATTCATTCCTCCCAAACTTTCTGTGTGTGTGTGTCTTTTCTCACCACTAACAGAACTGGGATGGCTTGCGGAGGGGGGGAAGCAAAGACCCCACATTCATTCCTCCCAAACTTAGCCTGTGTGTGTCTTTTCTCACCACTAACAGAACTGAGATGCTGGGGGGGAAAGGGAGAAGCAAAGACCCCCCACATTCATTCCTCCCAAAATATGTGTGTGTGTGTGTGTGTGTCTTTTCTCACCACTAACAGAACTGGGATGGCTTGGGGAAGGGGGGAAGCAAAGACCCCACATTCATTCCTCCCAAACTTAGCCTGTGTGTGTGTGTCTTTTCTCACCACTAACAGAACTGAGATGTGGGGGGGGGGGAAGGGGGGGCAAAGACCCCATTCATTCCTCCCAAACTGTGTTTGTTTGTGTGTGTGTGTCTTTTCTCACCAACAGAACTGAGATGCTGGGGGGAAAGGGAGAAGCAAAGACCCCCCCACATTCATTCCTCCCAAACTTAGGTAGATAGGTGTGTACGTGTGTCTCTCTCAAGCTACATCATCCTTTTCGAAATGGATGGGAAAAGCCGTGCCCAACCTCCAACCCTCCCAACCAGTTTGGGCTGGCGGAGGGGAAGGAGAAGGAAATCTCTCCTCCCCCCCCCCATTTTTTTTTCCTTTTCCTTTTCTTTTCCCCTTTGCGGGAAAGCAGAGGAGAAACGGGAAAGGCGGGTTACAAGCAGAGCCGCTCCGTTCCCCACCCACCTCCAGACACGCTCCCTTGACACGCGTCTCTCGCAAGGCCGGCCAGATAGACGACGACGAGGCGTCCTTCCTCCTCCTCCTCCTCCTCCTCTTCCCGGCGGACAAGCCGAGTCGGGGGAAGGGGGGAAAACCTTCCTGAGGAAGAGGGGAGGGTTGCCTCCTTCCTTCCCTCCCTCTCCCCCGCCTTCCAGCAGCGCCAGACTCCCAACTCCCACCGCACCCCGTTGGGGCGGGAGGCGGGCATGGCCGTTCTGTGAGGGGCGCTCGAGTGGGGCCTGGCTGGCTGGCTGGCTGTGCTCAGCCTCGGAGCGCCGAGAAAGACGACCGAGGAGCAGGAGGAGGAGGAGGGCGAGAAACCCGGCTTTGGTTCAGCCCGGGCCCGCCCTTCCCTCCCTTCCCTCCCGTCCGCAGCCCCTCACAGGCCGCCAACCGCCGCGCCCCCCTTCGCAGCCAGCGGACGGCCGCCGCCCTGGGCTTCTTTTTCTTCTTTTTTTTTTTACCTTCAGCGTCACCTCCTCGGGTTTCCAATCGGGCCTAAGCCGGCGTAGCAGCTCCAGGGCTCCGCGGCGGTAACCCGGATTGCCGCCGCCCGAAGGGTCCCTCTCGGTGACGAAGATGTCCAGCTTAGGTACCTCAGGAGAGCCCGACGGGACGTGGATGTAGTTGGCCATGGAGACGACGAGAGGAGGAAGAAGAAGAAGAAGGAAAAAAAAGAAGAAGAAGAGCGAGCGAGAGAACGAGCGTGAGGCGCCTGAGGAGAAAAAAAAAAACACGGCGACGGCAACGGCAGCAACTGCGGCGTCACGCGAGCGGCGCAGCCGGCAAATGAAAGGCGCGAGACCGGCGGGGAGGGGGAAGGAAAAGGGAGGGGCTCGCTTTTTTTCCCCTCTCTCTCCTGCCCGGCCCCCTTTGCGCTACGACTGGAAGCTCCGCCCCTTTTAGATTGGAAAGCACCACGCAGGCGTCGCGGCCGCCAAGTACGCTCCCGGCGCAAAGCAGCCTGGGTAAATAAAATTTAAAAAAAAAAGGAAGGAGGAGCCGGCGCCCCGCCCAGGCTTCCCGAGCTGCGCATGCTCTGTCGCCTTTTTGCTGCAGAGGGTCTTGGTTCAAACGGGGGGGGGGGAGGAGGGGAATGTGGCGTTCTCTGATAGAATAGAATAAAATACATTCATCGAGAATAAAAGGACAACAACACTTAGTGCAGTGGTGAAATCCAATTTTTTTTTTACTACCGGTTCTGTGGGCGTGGTGTGGCTTGGTGGACGTGGCAAGGGAAGGATACTGCAAAATCTCCATTCCCACCCCCCCCACTCCAGGGGGAGGATATTGCAAAATCTCCATTCCCACCCCACTCTCAGGCCAGCCAGAGGTGGTATTTGCCAGTTCTCTGAACTACTCAAAAATTTTTATACTGGTTCTCGACTGCTCAAAATTTCCGCTACGGGTTCTTCAGAACCTGCTGGATTTCACCCCTGACTTAGTGATGGAATGGAATGGAATGGAATAGAAATAGAAATAGAAATAGAATAGAAGAATAGAATAGAATAGAATAGAATAGAATAGAATAGAATAGAATAGAATAGAATAGAATTCTTGATTGGCCAAGTGTGATTGGACACACAAGGAATTTGTCTTTGGTGCATATGCTCTCAGTGTACATAAGGAGAATAAAATACATTCATCAAGAATAAAAAGATACAACACTTAGTGATAGTCAAGGTTACTAATAAGCTATCAAATTGTACTAGGAAACAAACAAAAAGCAATATAATTGAAAGAGATAAGCAACATGGTTATAGTTATAAGTGGGAAGAGATAGATACTAGTAAGGAAGGGAAGAATAATAGTAATAAAGTCTTAGTAAATTATTTGAGTGTTGTGGGAATTAGTTGTTAAGCAGAGTGATGGCATTCGGCGAAACGTGCAATTCTTTCCGCTTTTAGGAACATTTCTTTCAGGCAGTGTTTCCCAGCCTTCGTAACTTTATGATAAGATGGGTGGGTTTCCAACTCCCAGAATTCCCCAGCCAGCCACGAGTTCTTAAAGCAGCCTGTGAGTGGGTCTCTAAGTGATGATATAGTGCTTTTTGAGAGAGGGGGAAAAAGAGTCCCCGAAGCCTTAAAGGAGGCGGTGGTGGAACTCTTATCCTGGAATACATATATAATCCTTGATTTAGGATCACGGTTGAGCCCAAAATTTCTGTTACTAAGTGAAACAGATTTCTGTCCAAGTGATACTGTGTTTTTTGAGAGAGGGAAAAGCCTTAAAGGAGGCGGTGGTGGAACTCTTATTATGGAATACATAAAGTCCTTGGTTTACCATCACAATTGAGCCCAAGATTTCTGTTGCTAAGTGAAACATTAAGTGAATTTTGCCCCATTTTATAACCTTTCTTGCCACAGTTGTGAAGTGAATCTGATTTTCTCAATGACTGCTTGTCAGAAGGTTGTAGAAGCGGATCACATGACCCCAGGACACTGCAAATGTCATAAATATGAGTCGGTTGCCGAGCATCTGGATTTTGATCACGTGGCCATGGGGATGCTGCAATGGTCGTAGGTGTGAAAAATGGTCATAAGTGACTTTTTTCAATGCTGTTGTAACTTTGGTCACTAAATGAACTGTTGTGAGTCAAGGACTACCTGGGTTTCTTTTCTCTCGGCTCCTGCGTGGGACTTCTCTTTAACAACCTTGATGCCCTCAAGTCATGGAGTTGTTCTGAAAATAGCTGTAGATGCCCAGCTGTGATGAGTGATGAAATGAAAATTGGAGCAAGTAACAGGGTATCTAAAGAAAGCCAACGGTTAGATTATATTTCTGACCAAAATAGCATTGAAGGCACTTAGGTCTTTTTTTTTTAACTCCCTTTTGATTGATCAAAAGTGTATTTGCTTATCTGGTTTAAACATTAGCATTAGTAATTTTGTTACTTACGATTTATATTGATATTATTTCCTGATTGCTTATTTGTACCCTATGACTATCATTAAGTGTTGTACCTTATGATTCTTGATGAACGCATCTTTTATGTACACTTGAGAGCATATGCACCAAGACAAATTCCTTGTGTGTCCAATCACACTTGGCCAATAAAAAATTCTATTCTATTCTATTTTTCTTCATCAAGCAATGACAAAGGTTTAGGATTTCCAGCATCTTAAGGTTTCAGCCTTCGAGGATTTTAGCCACAGGTGAACAGGTGTATGCTTTTGGGGGTGGGGTGGAACTTGGTAGACCAAATGCACCAGTACCTCAAGATCAGATCTATCTATTTTGGTAGAGCTGATACTCTGGCTATTTAGTCATTTGAACAATAAAATGTTAGGAATTGCACTTTCATTAAATGTGCAGCCAGACACAAAATATGTGATTTATTTATTAAGCAAAATTAGATAGCTGCCCAACTCAAAAGAAGCGACTCTTGCATAAATGCCGTAGGCTGCTACATTTTGAGCCAAATGAAGCTTCCAGGTGCTCCACTGGGACAAACATGCAACCCAAGAGGATATGTAGAGGAGGATGGCCAGCGGCAAGGTAGGTTGTCTCAATGACAGTGATAATGGATCCACTGTTGAAAAACCCAAAGAAGCAGGCTGGGGGTCGATCCTTCTGGGGAAAACTCTTTTATCTATGTGGTTTCTAAGAGCAAACACAAATCTGATGGCACATAGTGCAACAATCATGTTTGCTGAAATGGTTTATCAGCAAGCGAAAGTGATTTCCAATATTTACCATATCCATTTGTCCCCGTCCTGATTACAAAATTCAATCCCCATCCACAGTCAGTCAGAGGCTATTTGACAACAAGATTAGAATAAAGTTCTGTTAACCAAAGCCATGATTAACATAGGAGGATGGGAAAGAGAGTGCAGCACTTCACAAAATAGGTTCAGTTGAGCTATAGGAAAGAAGGAAGGGCAGGGGTCTGAGTTCAGCGATCTGTATGTTTTAGCATTTACCACTACAATTTTCATTACCTCACTTCCGAACGGTATGAAACCATCCCAGTTTTCAGCCGTTACGGCCAGAGGAATCGCCCAGAGCTACAAGTTGCTCACTGTCGCTCTACAGAATGCACACCGCTGCATGAGGTTGAAGGAAAGGCTCAGGCTAAAAGCTCCCAGATATAGTCCTGGCCTCTCCTGAGGGGCTGAGAAAGGTTCCATGCAGAGGTGGGTTTCAGCAGGTTCTGACCAGTTCTGGAGAACCGGTAGAGGAAATTTTGAGTAGTTCGGAGAACTGGTAGTAAAAATTCTAACTGGCCCTGCCCCCATCTATTCTCTGCCTCCTGAGTCCCAGCTGATTGGGAGGAAATGGGGATTTTGCAGTATCCTTTCCCTGGAGTGGGTGGGAATGGAGATTTTACAGTATCCTTCCCCTGGAGTGGGGTGGGAATGGAGATTTTACAGTATCCATCCCCTGCCACACCCACCAAGCCACGCCCACTAAGCTATGTCACACCCACCAAGCCACACCCACGGAACCGGTAGTAAAAAAAATTTGAAACCCACCACTGGTTTCATGTTAAAGTCCTGAAAAGCTGTTGCTTAATAAGAGTCGGGACAGGGATAGATTAATGAATGGTCTGACTCGGTAAAAGCAATTTCCCATGTTCCCATTCTAAAGCACTGTTGGAGCTCTTTCCCTTTTTTTTTTTTTTTTTTAAATTTGATTTATATGCCGCCCTTCTCCGGAGACTCAGGGCGGCTTACAATGCGCTAAGCAATAGCCTTCATACTTTTGTATATTTATACAAAGTCAGCTTATTGCCCCCACAAACTGGGTCCTCAATTTACCTACCTTAGAAAGGATGGAAGGCTGAGTCAACCTTGAGCCTGGCAAGATTCGAACCTGCAGAAATTGCAGGCAGCTGTGTTAATAACAGGGTGCTTTAAACCACTGTACTACCAAGGCTCCTATTTTTAAGCTAACGAATCATGAGGAATAAACTGTATGAAAAAGGTGATGTTGTAAGAAAGTTTTTAGAGTGCTGTGCAAGGTTTCTGTTGTGGGATACGGCATGGAACCATAAAGAGAGAGAGAAAGAGAGAGGGAGGGAGAGGGAGAGAGAGAGAGAGACACAGAGAGAGAGAGAGAGAGATGGAAATATTGGTCTATACCAAGGGTGTCAAACTCGATTTCATTGAGGGCAGCTTGACGTCACTCATGTTGGGGGCCCCGGTGGGGGCCCGAGAGCTTTGCCAGCGAAAACAGGCTGCGACGGCCTCCTGCAACCCTCTGCCAGTCAAAACAGGGCTTGGGAGGGCCTCATGCAGCCCTCCAGAACTGCATTTTCACTGGAAGAGGCACCGCGGACCAGTCCTTTGCTGTTTCCAGGGCAGCCCCGCTGGCTGGATCCAACCCCCCAGGCCTTGAGTTTGACATCCCTGGTCTATACACTTTACCTGGTTGTAAAAACACACCAGTTTTGTGACATGGCAGAAAATAAGAGCTTAAGCCATAATTTTAGCCATCTTGAACTGCTACATATTTCATGTATCTGTAACAGACTTTCTTTAATTAATTTAACCTAACTTGAATCAATTTTTCTGGGTTGGCATGAGGCATTTGGCTGTTAATTAATCAACATTAGGTTACAGTGTAGTTAGGCTCTAGTTCTTTTTGCTTGCACGCTTACGCAATGTTACCTCAAGCAGGGTTTGCCCAATTAACTCTACATTGGGTTCATACAGCACCACTGAAGCAAAAATTAGCCCCATTGGCTGGGACTGCACATCGCAGTAGATTAAAATGTGGTTGGTTGGTTTATGATCCGGTATCGCATGCAAATATGACTATTTTATGGTTTTGCTGCAAAGGTTTAAGAGGAGTAGCTTTCAGGAAACCATTATGTAGTAGGTATTCCAAC